TCATGTAATAGATGCCATCATTTCTTGCTCTATAATAAGTGACATCCTTCCTATAAGCACGAGGAAGGTAAGAAAAAAGGCAATTTTGGAATGTGGTAAAGAAGTTTCACAAGTTGAACACTTGAATGTGGGGTGTTCAAAATTTCAGATAGATATATCTTAAATTTTTATTTTTCTTAATTGTAAAATTGACTTTTGAAAAGTGTTTAAAATAAAATTGTTGAACAGCAGGTGAAATGCAAGATTTAATGGATGTATCAGTCTAAATGTGTTACTAAAAGTCAGAATTAGAAAGTCCATGTATTTATCTTATTTGATATTAATACTTCGAAAATTTCTTAGATAACTTTGCAAATGTGCAAGCGAAAAATAAGAGATTGCAAATATTGAAGGTACCAAATTATTTGTCCAAGAGGGACATAAAATATAGTTTATGATGGATATACATAAATCGTTAATGGGATGGGTTAAGCAAATAAGGAAGTTACCTCCGCAAGCAACCCAATAATTGTGATTGAAGATCCCATAAAGAAGGTTTAATGTGGTAGAAACAATCTGTACTTTGTGATTTGTAATAAAACTATATTATTTGTTCTCATCTCTATGGTGATATAGTGTTAATAAATGGGATGTTAGGAAAAGTTTAATTCTGAATAAGTACCAATGCGAGAATTACAACCTTGGAAGACTCACCTATGTAAAAGTTGCTATGAGACCGTAGCTATGAGATTGTACTATTCTGTAAAGACTCTTACTAAAATCAAGATTAGGAAGCACAACCATTAAGAGCACTATCCACTATGAATTAGAGCTTAAATCGATACCGTGTGTGGAACAATTGAAATTTGGTGAAAGGACCTAATTCAATTCCATTATGGCTCTCTCAAATAGAAATTGTTATCACTAAGCAAGGTTTAAATCTAAAAGACACTTACACCTATTATATAGTATAAAATTACTATGAGAGACTTGTTCTTTATCTCCCCGTGGTCATCCCATAGAAGGAGAACTGGCTATGAGCCATATGGATTTTATCTTGAAATCTTATAGTGTTAAAAGTACTCGTATGAAGGGGGAGACAACACGACTTTAGGAAGTGTCCTTAACGTGACTCTCTAAGATTTGCATTTTTAACTCTTCTATTTTTATGTTTAAATTATCATTGAATTATATTTATATTATTTAATTAATTATGTTAATTGACAAATATCTGCACACAAATTATCCATTTCTCCCAACATATCTTATTGTTTGAGAATGACACAACAGCCTAACAAGTGTACTTTTTGGCCCAAAATAAGTGTTTTTTTCTGAAATAATTTTAACACCAGAATTTAGTTCAAATTTCGGGCAATCTTAATGTTCAAGTGAATATGAATAGGGCTAATTGAGCCTTCAAGTCTGCAATTTTAGACACTAATGTGCAAACATTTTCTTTCTTTATTCAGCTTCGAAAATTTCTCTCTTATTGTATGATGATGATACATGATTGTAGCGGGTTCCGAGGTGTGGGGTGGGGTGAATCGGGATTAAGACGTGTGACAATACCAGTGAAAATCAAAGGACTATTCGTTCTTTGGGATGTACCTTTCCTATTTCCATTTTATATGGTAGTAAAAAAAAAAAAAATTTTTTTGGTATATAAAGGATTACATAATTCCCATATGATATTTTATTATTTGTCAATTTAAAGTACAGTCAAATTTTCATTCAATCTTTTCTTTTTACATTATTTTCGAGTAGCGGGTTCCGAGGTGTGGGGTGGGGTGAATCGGGATTAAGACGTGTGACAATACCCGTGAAAATCAAAGGACTATTCGTTCTTTGGGATGTACCTTTCCTATTTCCATTTTATATGGTAGTAAAAAAAAAAAAAAATTTTTTTTGGTATATAAAGGATTACATAATTCCCATATGATATTTTATTATTTGTCAATTTAAAGTACAGTCAAATTTTCATTCAATCTTTTCTTTTTACATTATTTTCGATAATCTTTTTACATTATTTTTGATAACCGCATATGTACCATTTCTATGTACAAATAACATAATTAAAAAAAATAAAATATTATATGTAATTTTTTTTAATCAGATCTTTAAATCCGTAACCGTACATAACACTAAGAAGAACAATAGTCGGATTATAGAATGTTGAAAAATAACATGAGGAGATATATAAAATAGACAAGAAATGAACTTTGTACTCACTAAATTACAGAATTCGGAACACACGAGACCTTGAAAATAAAACTTCAGACAACAACAATCTAATTATACTGAATAATGACACCATGCATGCAAACAATTTTTGAACCCATAATAAACATGAAAATACACTGATAAGATAAACAAACTTCTCAAGGCAAAATGCCGCCGGCACCGGCTGCACCACCAACTCCACCACCAAGTCCGGCGCCTTTGACACCCACACCACCAACTTTTCCAACCCCGCCGCCCAGCCCTCCAACACCGCCAGCACCTCCAAGGCCACCGACTCCTCCAACACCACCAAGAACTGGTAGCACTGGCAACACCCCAGCAACGCCACCAATACCGGCGCATCCGCCTACGCCTCCGTAAGTGATGAAGTTTTTCTGATCATCAACACCGGCAGCAGCATTATGTCTGTTTTCAACATGGCTTAGAGTGTTATCATTAGGGTTTCTGCCTTGTGTGTCGAGAGGAATTTTTCGTGCAGTTGCATGCACAAATACAAGTACAAGCACAAACATTACGTACAATTTTGCCATCGCTCTCTTTCTTTTGCTCTCTCTCTCTCTCTCTCTATATATATATATATCTTCTCTCTATAAATTATACGTACACAGAGACAACAGAGTGAGAATGAAAGTTGAGAAGGATGGGGTATTTAAGGGCATTTTCGAGGCTGAATTGAGTGGAAGACAGTTGGGAGAGTTGACGGAGTATAGTAAATGTTGGCATTAAACTTCTGCTCAACCCGTCTCGATAGTAGCATTTCTATGGGAACAGAAGAAGAGTGAATTACTGTCAACCCACTGCAAAAAGAAAAAAGGATAGTAAAGTTTGAGTTAGGGTTAGCATTTCTCGTTTCTCATTTCAAAATGTGAAAAGAACCTATAGAACATGAAGCCGTAAACTCTGAAGCAAGGAGAGAAGCCAATCAGATCGAGTTGGAGATTCATGAAAAGTGGCTTGGTTAAGGGAATTCACTGGAGTTGTAACAAAAGTGAGTCTTCATCGAATAATTGTATTGCTTATGGACCTGAATCGAGTAATGAATCCGAGACCATGGTGAAACTAATTAGTGAACGTTTGAATTGACTCTTGTGCAAGAATCAATAGACGAGCTATGATTATGGATGACATGTGACGGAACCTAGAGCTAGCTAGTTCAATCAATCAATTGAAGAATAAAAATATTATTATATGATTATTATTTGAAATATATTATAGTATTGTGTCTAATGGTGGAGCCACAAATATAACATTAATGCCCATAAATCCATTCGCAGAACTTGAATGTTATGTCATCCCATGGAAGTTGTGTTGCTTACACTTGTTAGGATTTTGCCATGCAGAATAAATGTTCCTATACACCTCTTCTATTTTTTCATTTTTTTATTTTTTTTTATCGATTTTTGTCTTGATTTTGAAATACTTATTTTATGGGAAATATTGTAGTTTGTTTTGTTAATAATTTTACATAAAATTGAATGGACTCTAACCTTAAATTGATATTACCTGTATAAATTGGTAAAAAACTAAAATTAATAAATGTTGACTATACTTATGTTGACAAAAAAATGTAAATTTATAAAAATATACATATGCATGCCATGTCTCATGATTATGGTCACAAATTTTATTTCATATTACACATTTAAGTCTAATAACATAAAATTTTTATGTACATTTGCTCGATGCATTAGAGAGATCAAATGTAGTAGACTCTAAACATCACTGTAATATTGAATCTTTCAATTAAAATTATAATAAATGAACAAAATTAATCATATTAGTTTCAACGAACAAAATTAATCATAATAAAGAACTTATTTAACTGAATGCAAATATATCGAGAATAATGCTTAATAGTTAATTGGTTGAAACAAACGTTTAACAAGGCTGCTCAAATTAATTTTTAATTAATCCACCACTTTTATCTTTATATATATATATATTGCAAAAAAAGTGCATTTATTGGACCTAGAGAACCGTTATAGTCTATGGTTGTCAAGACCCGTCTAAGGTTCCTGAAAAGTACAGCAGAAAAAGACACAATCTATATTGAAGATGTCGATGTATAGTTGTTTCGCGCGAGTAGTCGCTAACAATTAAAAAGAGATTAGACGATTGTGTAAGGAATAAATCTCTTGAGACAAAGTCCCAAAAAGGGGTGTTTTATTGGCGATGACTTTACAATTGGAACTAAAGAGAATACCTCCATGGAACACAAGCACACGAGTACTGAAAAGAAATGTTTAAGTCTAAACTAAGAAATTGAAATTACATATTCTCTGTTTGAGAGTGTTTGATTCGGGGTCCTTTCCTCTATGTCTTTTCTTCATTTTATATTCCCTTGATGATTTATTCGTGATCAACTGCTTAGAAACTGCTTAATTGCTTTATAACTGCCCACTTTCTTCATAGTGGCCAACTTATCGTGGAAATGCCGTCTTTAACTGCTGCCACTACTCTTTATCGTTCAACCATCTTCAATTGAACTCCTTGAATCGTGAAATGTGAAAAGATCACTCAATAACTGCTTCGATAACTGCACTTTTGGATAACCATAACATCTTATGTTTGCTAAGATCCTGGGTGATTCGAAGGTTTGGACGAGAATAGGGTCATAACTTTGGGCGAATGCAAGGCACTTCATTCGCTCAGATCTTGGGCGTCTTGCAAGTTTGGGCAATGGTGTTACCGCTTTCGTGGGCTTCCACTGTATTCATTAATAACCCTATTTGAGTCTTTATCCTGAATTGCCCAGTTGGGTTTCATTCTTTGGACTATTCGATTTGAGCTGCACTTTTAGCGCGTCAACAATTACCCCCAATATGGCAGAATTAATAACAATTATTAATTTTTTGCCATATTCACTTTGTATTTTCCAACAACATTTGAAATTCCCAAGAATTTCAATCATTATTTTCTTCCATAGCCTAAAAAGGTGCGACGTTGCAAACCCTTATAACCCCCAAATACATGCCATTTCATCGCACCACTAAATCACGCCTCATTGTTTCGCACTTCTCTCTCGCAATATTACTGTTCATTTTCTTGCTTCTCTGCTACGTTTCTCAAGGAAACTTCAACAAAATTTTATTTCATTCCCAATGGCTGCTTCACAAACTTAATCTGGTGACTTTTTCAGTTTCGAAGACTTCCAGCAAATCCTCACTCGGCCATATATAACTCCGAACTTCCTTGCACCAGCCAATGCCGAACTCAATGAGTTCTATCTAGATCCTTCATTCAACAACGTCGAGGCCGTCGAACAAGTGGCGGTGGGCCAGCTGTTCCCTTGTACTCAAGGCCCTCGGTTTCTGAACTCTTTGCCGCTGAGGCCGCTTCGCGAAAGAGGTATTCACACTTGGCCTAAATCTGATGTTATTTTCTGTAGATGGCATGCTCGCCTTGTGGGCCATGGTCCTACCAAGGCAATTTTTGATAGTGCTAGGATTTCTAATTTGTTAGAAATCTCTCTTCAACCCCCTATTTTTGATCCAATGCTTTTTCCTATTGCTTTATGTTTTTGGTCCTCTGAGTATAATACTTTTGTTTTCCCTCTTGGTCCCATGTCCATTACTTTAAGAGATGTTGGGGCCCTAGTAAATTTGCCACCTTTGGGCGATACCATTTTCCCTGATATTTTGATTTCTGGTGTCGCCCCAAAATTTGACAGAAAACTCACCGAGTCCTATTCAAGCCTGCAAAGCTGTTATAATCACTTGAGCCCTGAGCCTTCCCATGCTGAGCGTGTGGCCTTTCTTCAGATTTGACTTTGTAAATATATTCTGTGTGCGCCAAGCGTGAAACCTTCTATGAGCTATTTACCCATAGCGCACGAATTGGCGCGTGGTAGGCCTCTGAATTTGTGTTCTTTCTTTTTGGCTGCCCTCTATAGAGGCATGACTTCTCTTCAATTCTAATTGAAGAATGGTGCATCTCCCACTGGTAGTGAGCCTCTTTGGTTCACTCAAATGTGGATGAGAGCCTATTTTCCATCACTTGGTGCTCTATCCTTGTCCCTTCATTCTGCTAGCTGCTATGGGCTAGCTATTGACCCACTGAGCCCTGTAAATATGTCCAGAAGGGACATCTTTTCATTCTTTTATACTTTGAATTCAATTCATTCATTCTTTCCTTTTCCTCCCCCTTTAACTCTAGATTATGTGCAACCCCCATTGTTCGCAAAATATTTCTTCTCGATTTTAAAACCCACCGCAAGTGTACGGTTCGTTAACAAGTAGTAAAATGGACTATGAGTCCAAGTATCATTCCCACGAGGATTGAATTAGCTCTAATTAGACTAATGTGACCTTAACCGAATCTAATTGAATGAAAATTTGATTTAAATGTGAAAAACCCTAAAATTGGAAGAAATCCCCAATTTGAAACCCTAATTTCAAAATTAGAAACCCTAATCTTGAAATTTCACTAATCGAATGAAATAAACACGCAATTGAAATGTAAATATGCAATTTTAGAACTAATGTATTGAAATGAATTGAAATGAAATCATTAAGAACTTGAATCCCCAGTTGACTATTAAAAACCCTAATTTCACAAATTCAACGAATTATGTCGATTTATATTCTATCGAATTTATTCCCCTTCTTTCGAATGCAAAGAACAAATCATCTACAATCACATAACAATTGGCCAAATAATTATGGAAGCATTCAAATCATATAAATCAAACATTTGTCCAATCGAAACTATTGTTGAAGTAATGAAATAACGGAAATTTAAATCATCAAAAGGTTCATCAAATTCCTAATGAACAAAAACCCTAGCCTATAATCATCATTACAAAATCAAGAAATTGAAAAACGAAATTAAAAGATAATAAGAATACACCCGTATGGAATTTCTTCAATCCGTGTGTATAATCTTCAATCCCGTCTCGAGCCCGTGTGAAATTGAATCCAAAATCAAGTTTCTTGCCTCCAATTTTGGTCTCTCCCTTCTCCCTGGTCGTTCCTCCTCTTCATATGATGAATTTGGGTATTTATATTGCGTCCAAATTAAGTAGGAAAGGAGTTTCAACCAAAACGAAAAACTACGCCCGAAGTTTCAAAAACATACTATGCGACCGCATAGAAGTGATCTATGCGGTCGCATAGATCATTTTTTTCTCTCATTTAATTCCCTGAAACCTTCTATGCGATCGCATAGAAGGTTACACTATGCGGTCGCATAGAAGTAGCCATCTATGTGGTTTGTGCAATTCGGTCCCTGAACTTCTTTGTTACTTCTCTTGACTTCTTTCTTCGATTTCTTTATCTTTTCAACAATTCTTATCTTCCAATTGATGATCGACACTTTCAAATATTATGCCACTCATTCGGCACATCTTTTGAGTATTTGCACTTTAGTCCTCCAAATTTCAATTATCTTCATTTTAGTCCATCTTCCATTATTTCTTCCTCCACTTGTTTTGCTTTGTCATTGAGCTCATACTTGGCATGTTTTTACTCTCGTTTTGCATTTAGCTCAACTTCTCAATATTTACACCTTTGGTCCTCGAACTATCAAATTGTTGCGTTTTGGTCCTTCTTCGGCTCTTTTCTCCCGAATTCCACAATTTCCATTGAATTACCTACAATGC